AATTTATAATTGACAAATAGAATTTATAAACATTTTTTTCCTTTATTTAAAAAAAAACTTTGAATTTTATTAAAACAATCAGAATTAAGAAATAGAAATGTTGCAAATTATTTCCTTATGAAAATTGAGAATTTTTTACAAACGGGAATATGTAATGTTTTTTTCCCCAAAAGGAAATTAAAGTGGAAAAAGTTGAATATTATCAAAATAAATCAAAACATTTCGAAAAAGTCATCGAGACCTGAATATAAATACAACAATAAGTGTCTTTTGACCGGTACCATTTTTCATAAATTTCTTTTTTTTTGTAAAACGACAAAAAATGCAAGTAAAAAATAAATCTCTCTCTCTCGAAAAAAAGCCTAACGATTTCCAGATTACTAAAAATTTACTGGACCGGAAGAATACATATAAGGGTGATATATATATTTTTCTCAATTTGGAAATGATTCCAAAACGTTTGACATGATGAGATTCACGGATGGTTGGCTGATCATATTATATTATATTAAATCCATATTCACTGAATTGAATGTGAAGGGTTCGTGTGCGAGGAACATACCGAGTGTAAAGAGTAGAAAGAGGGCTGCAGGTGTGTCATATATATTTGTTTATCAGGCGTGAAATTGGCGCCCCCCAAAATGAAAATATCGTGTGGGCAGTGTTGCACCCCAATCTGGATTCGATACCTGGATTCAGTCTAAGTGACTCACGCTCTGGTGTTAATCCGCGAATGCATTCGGCTAAACGATGCCATGTGTACAAACACTGACAGCCGGTCCCGCACTTGCTAGTTAACTTAAAGGGTGGCTTAAACCAATGACGCAACACCCCTGAGAGGAGAGGACCATCTTTAATAAACAATACCAAACTTCCCTCACTGTATCTACAACCTACACAACGTAAACAAAACATGACAATAATTTGTCAATTACTAAACAAAACAGTGCCACGTCTATCGAAATATTCACAATATGTATACACATTGCAGTGTTATTAATAATGATAATAGAGTTGTGCAAAGTTTGGTTCAAATTAAATTCCGTTCCATTTTAATGCGACCCGATTCGAAACAAATATCAAAAATTATCTATTAAAATATTTAACAGTACGTCATCATTACGTATTAAATAAGTTAATAGATAGTTTTTGAAATAAGTTGTGGCCCCAAGGGTTATAAAAACGTTCAAAAAAAATTTAATTCTTTCGAATAAATTTAATTCATTCTTCATGGAAACGAAAGAAAGAATTACATTTTTTTTGAACGTTTTTATAACCCTTGGGTCCACAACTTATTTCAAAAACTATACGGAAAAAAATTTAATTGATTCAAATAACCGATTAATTTACTATTATCAATTAAATATTTACTTGAATCAAATAATATTTGTTGGAGTCAATTAAATGGTGTTATGTCTACAGGAATTAAAATATTTCTAATGATTTCAAAAATAAATAATAATAAATAATAAATAATACTTGAATAATAAATAATAAATAATAAATAATAAATAATAAATAATAAATAAATAAAAATAATAAATAATAAATAAAATTATTCAAAACTTTAATTATTTTATTTTATTCAATTCTAAATCAATTTTTATTAGAAAGTTCTACGAGAATTCAATTATTTTAATACAAAAATAAATTTATTGAATAGTGGAATGATTCCTAAATTTGAATTCATGAAAGAACTTTATTAACATTTTTTAAAATAATAATTGAATTTTTACGAAAAATTGCATTAAAATTTTTAATAATAATAATAATTACATTCATTCAAGAAATGTAATGGAAAATAAATTAAAAATAATTATTACAATCTACGAAACAAATTATATCAAATTTTTTGAGGTAATTGAATTTTTTCGAAGAATTTTATTCAAATTTTTAAGAATAATTGCGTTTTTAGCGGAATTAATTTAAAATTACATTAATAATAATTGATATCCTGCAATGAGTTTTATTATTTATGAAAATAATTGAATTTTTGTCACTGAACTTTAATAAAGTTTTTTAAATAATTGTATTCTTGAGAAGAATTTTAACAAAATATTTTTAAAGAAATGATTTTTTTCATAAAATTTTATGAAAATTAAATATTTCTTTGAAAATTGTATATTATTTATAAAAATAATTAAAATCTTTAAAAAAAATTTTATTAAAATTATATTGAGAAAATTTCAATTATTATAAAGAATTCCATTAATTTTTTTTTTAAATAATTGAATTCTTGCGAAGAATTTCATTAAAATTTTTAAGAATAGTTGCATTTTTCGCGCATAATATTTTAATAAAAATAATTGAATTCTTGCAACAATTATTATTAAAATTTTGAAAAATAATTGAATTCCTGAGAAGAATTTTATTATTTATAAAAATAATTGAATTCTTGAGAAGAATTTTATAGAAATCTATTTATAAATAATAATTGATTTTTTTTTTTAAATATTAGAAAAATTCTGTTTTAAATAATTGAATACCTGTGAAACTTTTTTTACTATTATTGATTTGTAAACGTAAAGATTTTAAAATTGTGAAAGAACTTTGACAAAAATTATTAAAAAATAATTGATTTAAAGAAGAATTTGAGTTAAAAATTCTGGAAAATAGTAATTGAATTGAAATAATGAAAATTATTTTGAAGAAGTTACAGTACTTAAATAATTAAATAATTTTATTATTTATTATTCGAGTAGAATTTTCTACTAAAAATTGATGTAAAAATGAATATTAGTTAAAATTTTAGATAATTATTGAATATTAAAAGCATTATAGCGTGAATTTTTAGAAATAGTTAAATTTAAGGGAATTTGAACCATTATGACGTCACAGTTTTAGAACACATGCTTTGCGCAAACTGTGACGTCATAATGGTTCAAATAACCTTAAAAAATGTTAATTGATAATAAAATGTATTTAATTATTATTATAAAATATAAAACATGAAGAAATCGATTGCTCCAAGTCGAAGACTCGGAGTGATTGATTTCTTCATGTTTTATAATAAATATTCTCCTAAGTTGTTTAATTTAAAAAAAAAACATTGAAAATTAAATTTAAATTAAATTTAAAACAAAAAGGTTTGAATTTGAATGTTTTGAAGAATTTTGATTCTTGCAGAAAAATACTAATGATTAAATATTTATTAAGAAAAGAAGTTATTGATGATCTCGAATCATTTTGCATTTAAAGAAATTAGAAAATAAATCTAATTAGAACATTTTCTTGAATATCTAATAATTTCGAGAGGGAGTCAGAATATTTATTAGGAAAAAAGTCAAAATTTTGTCTGGGAATCAGGGAAAAGACAAGGAAAGACAAAATTAATTTTTGGTGACAACCCTGAATCGATTAGAATCGAAATATTTTTGTTCCAGCCACATATGTCGAATTTAGTATAAAAAAAGTTAATTAACAAAATAAACAGGAAGCACAAGGAGAATACAAAAGTGAAAAATAATAATTGAAATTAATTTTGCAGAAGATTTATGGTCCCCAGTGTCCTCCCTTCTCTCTCTCTCTCTCTCAGCAAAAGATTAACATTATTTTACCGTTCACGTACATCGAAAGATCAGAGCACTGAATGTTCATTAGGTCCATTCGGGATGATCCAATAAAAATCATTGAATGCTAATGTAATTATCGCGAGCATAAATCCCTTCGGGTTAAGGAGGATGATTTGGGGTTAGGAGCAGAGGCAAGGGAGTAGGCCGCCCCTGCAATTAGTCCTGCCAATGACTCTTGGTCAGGGGTTCCAGTCGACTTCCGCCTCGGCCTCAATACACTCTCAATGCCATTCGCAGTTATATTACGCAGGGACTAATATTTGTGTCTTGTCTTTCTTCCTATTAAATCAAACTTTCTCATTACGATTAAATTTACTTTACAAGATTCTATTCATTTCTTTATTCAATCGTTTGGCTTAAACCAATTTTTGTTAAATTGAATTCTTCGCTATTTAGTATTCTTTGTACATGAATTTGGTATTATTCTGTTAGTGTGTAATTTTTTCTTCTTTTTTTCAAAAAACGCTTCAATGTATTTGACACTTTTCAGTGTTTCTGTACATTTAGTAAAAGAATTTTTAAAACAAATCGAAAACAATCGATTGTGAATCTGACATTCGTTTTTCAAAATTCAAAATGGCGGATACAATATGGCGGACGAATTTTAATAAGCTCATTGGACTCGGTTGAAACTACTAACACAAAGGCAGGCCTCACACTCACCTACTAAAACTACTATTTACTACTATTTGGATACTTTTTCTTACTTGTTACACTAAAAGCTACTTTTTTCCATGTTTGAGAATTTACACTACTTTAAATTTGTTAACAGAAAATAGAAAAAATAGAAAAATTATTTTTAAAAAATTAAATAAAGTTATTGGAAAAAATTTAATTATTTTTACAAATTTTTCGTAATTCAATGATTTTTAATATCTACTATTTTAATAAAAAATTTTCCAAAAGAATTGAAAAATTTAAAAAAAAAATGTTTATAAAATTCAATTATTTTCCGAGAAATAACGTAAAATTCTGGTTCAGATCTTGTCATACTCTGTATCAACAAAACTACAATTATGTTAGATTTCGTCAGAGTCCGTCAAAATCTGTCACTGATGAACGCGTGCGCAAATAGGTAAAACGCTCAACTTCGCATGATTTCGTAAAAATCTGTCAAGTAATGTTCAAATGAATCTAACGGAATCTTAAGTGAGAAGTATTTTTAACTGAAATTCCTCTGAAAATCCATTATTTTTAACAATTAATTAAATATATATTAAAAATAACATGATCCGTTACATTTCATGTGTAAGATTAAAAATTTTAGTCTTATTGATAAAGTATTTTTATAACCTATGATCTTTGTATTTTTTTTACATTCTTAATTTTTATTTTTACATAATAAATAATAAACATTTGCAACAAATAAAAATTTGAATTAAAATCTACAAAACAAAAAGTAAATTTGCAAAAATTCTCTTGTTTCAGGTTGTGCTGCTCAACACGCGCTCTTAGGAAAAACAAGAAGGCCCCGAACAGCCTTCACCTCTCAACAATTGTTAGAATTAGAAAAACAATTTCGACAAAACAAATATCTCAGCAGACCAAAGAGGTTCGAAGTGGCCACCTCGTTAATGTTAACAGAGACGCAGGTAAAATTTTCCTTTACAAATTCAAATTCACAAAAAGAAAAAAAAGTTTTCAAATACATTTTATGTTCTATACACAAAACTTTCCTTTCTCCTGACGTTTCAATTAATTTGGCACATGAAATATCCTTAATTCCTTGAAGCAACATTGATTACCAGTGTTTGGCTAATACTTAACTTAAACAAAAACCTCCATTAGTCTAATTTTATTATTCAAGCAATTTCTCACTGGATTTGTCATTTTCTAAGCCAAGAAACGCCTCAAATTCCTTTATTCTTTCTCATCGTGCACTTACTCCAAATGAGAAAGTTCGTCAGACGATAAATACTAAAAGTGTGAAAATTGGGGAGAAATGAAGTGGGGTTTAAGGAGTGGAAGAGGAAGTGGAAGATGATTTTCGCGAGTGGAGGGGCAGCAAATGGAACACAGCGAGGCGAGGGAGGAAAAAGACCCTTGAGAGAAATCCCGGAATAATCCGTCCCTCCGAAACTCGCATAGTTCAACAACTTAAACATAACTCTGAAGCTTACGAGCACTGACGGATCGCTCGGCAAACAGACCTGAAAGTCTGAGTTATGGCGGCTCAGTCCCTGATTTGTTTCGATATTTTACCGATTCTGCTTCGAGCTTCCGTGTATGAAGCCATCGATTTCCTCTTTTCTGGCTTCCTTGCCTTCGTTTGCGGAACTCCGTGTGCCTGCAGAACATATATACCTACCTATATCAAAGTCAGACAGAAAAAGAGAGATTTAAATTTTACACGAAAATGGAATGAAAATCAACTTCAGTTTCAGCGCTCTTTCTCTCACTTTCTTTCTCTATAATCTCATTTATTCTCGTCGTATATTTTTCCTATTTCTTATAATAATGTATTTTCAAAACAATGTTGATTTCTTCAATTACTGATCCTAAAGAATATTCTGATTCACTCTAAAAATTATTAGATACTCAAAAAAATGTTCTATTACACAATTTTCTTGAAAGTATCAAATCGATACTTAAGTAGAACAAATTGATGTCAAAAATTTAGATCAATTTTTGATATGATCCAAATTTTTTATATCAATTCATTGCAATTTGATACTTTTAAGTTAACAGTGTACATTTACTTACGAATTTCTTTTATTGTAAAATTATTCGAAAACATCAATATGTAATTTATTTTTTAAATAAATATTGAATGATTATTATTTTTCTGCAAGAATTAAAATTCTTCAAAACATTCAAATTCAAAACATTTTGTTTTTTTAAAATTAAACAACTTAGGCCCAATGATAAAATAATTATTTTATATTCAAAGAAATCAGATTTTCAAAGATTTTAACTTAAACCTTCAGAAAATTCAATTATTTCTAAAAATTTGAATTATTATTATAACTTCTCCAATATTCAATTTTTATCTAAAACTTTAACTGAAATTAATTTTCAAATATATTTTTATTAGAAAATTCTACGAGAATTCAATTATTTAAATGCAAACATAAATAATTTATTGAATAATTAAATGTTTGTGAAGAATGTTATCAAAATTTTTGTTTTAATAATTGATTTCTTTATGAAGATTAAATTACAATTCTTGAAAGTAATTAAAATCTTGTGATGAATACTACTCTATTTATGAAAATAATTATTGAATTTTGCAATGAATTTTATTAACATGCCTGAAAATAATTTAATTTTGTCAAAGGATTTTTTATATTCATTTACAAATAATTATAAAAAAAATTAAAATTATTAAAAAAAATTATACGACAAAATTTTTTAAGATTTTAATTTGAAATCTTTTCAAAATTCAATTTTAAGAATAATGTCCAATGAGTTATTTTATAAAGTTTCAAATAATTGATTTTTTTCGAATTATTTAAGCAAATTCTATTTTTAAGAATTGAATTCCTGTGAAATTTTCATTATTTTAGAAAATAATTGAATATTCGTGTAGAATTTTGTCAAAACTGTTTTTAAATAATCGAATTCTTTTGGGAAATTTTATTAAAATAATTGATAATTAGGAAAATTTTTTGAAAATAATTGAAATTTTGCAATGACTATTATTAAAATTTTTGAAAAGAATTGAATTCTTGTGATGAATATTGTTATTTATGAAAAGAATTGACTTCTTCGGAATGATTTTATTATTTATGAAAATAATAATTGAATTGATATACAAATTATTGAATTAGGAAAAATTTTTAAAAATAAGTGAAATTTTGCAATTAATTTTATTAAAATTTCTGAAAATAATTGAATGTTTGTGTAGAATTTTATTAAAATTTTTCAAAATTCAATTATTTTTAAAAATCTATCCTATAATTCTTTTAATATTCATTTATTATCTGAAATTAAAACTGAAATTGAATTTTACATCAATTTTTAAATTAATTTTAATTAAATTGTATTAAAAATAATTGAAATTCTGCAATATGAGTTTTACTATTTATGAAAATAATTTAATTTTTCCGAAGAATTTTATAAAGTTTCAAAGAATTGACTTTTTTCGAAATATTTATGCAAATTCTATTTTTAAGAATTGAATTCCTGTGAAATTTTCAATATTTCTGAAAATAATTGAATGCTTGTGTAGAATTTTATCAAAATTTTTGTTTAATAATTGAATTCTTTTGGGAAATTTTATTTAAATTTTTGAAAATAATTGAGATCTTGTGATGAAATACTACTATTTATAAAAATAATTGAAATTTGCAATGAATTTTATTAAAGTCCCTAAAAATAATTAAATTCTGTCACAGAATTTTAATAGTAATTTATAAGGATAATTGAAATGTTGACATCAATTTTTTTTAGATTTTTTGAAAATAATTGAATTCTTGTAATGTTATTTATGAAAATAATTGAATTTTACAACGAATTTTATTAAAATTCATGAAAATTAATAATTGAAAAATTAATAAAATTCGCGGTAATTTCATAGTTTATGAGTCAAACAAAAAAATTCATAATTTTCTTATGAATTCTAAAAATTTAATTTTTACCATTACTTTCAATAAAAATTCCTGACTTTTCACTGAATTCCCTAAATTTCCTGACCTGTGGCATCCGTGAATTAGGATCGTTTGCTCTCTTATCGAATAATCGTGTTGTCTTTTTGAAAAAAACACGAAAGTGATTTTTTCAATTAAGTTGAATCACATTTTAAGATCTAATCGATCAATTAAGAGCCTAATTCGGTCAAGTGATTAATTCTGTTTTGCGATAAACTTTTGATGTATTATTGGTTTATTTCGATTAACACACTCGTCACTTTTCGAATTATGTATTTTTTTACAGCAAACCTTCAAGTGCGAACCTACTTTTATCTGTTGGTTGAAACATTATTTTTGTATTTTCTTATAATTTCTAAATTATCAAAAACGAATAAAATAGTTCTTAATGATTTTTAATTAAATTTAATGAAAATTAAAGAAAATTAAAGAAAATTTTGACAGAGAAATTTTAACAAAATTTGAGATTTTTTTGTACGTAAAATTTGGAAAAGTTGTTCTTGTGTTTAATCTCTTGTTCGACTTCGACGCTATTAAGCTAAAGTTCAGTACACGCAGCTTAAGCCATATCACACATATAAAATTGGAATGTGAGACGAGAGAAGACGTAAATCAAAAAGACGAATACGGGAACTCGATTTTCCTCCCTTATCCGAAAGATACGATGTAAATCTTTTGGACAACATATCATGTCTAAGCCAACCCCTATCTCATCCCCGACTCCATTTGTATTACCTTCCACCCTTCAAACATGTACCTTTATTCGCCTTTATTCGCACTCACACGAATACAAATGAGAGTCATTCAGGTGTTTCGTTCTCGTTTTTCCTCCGCACTCCTTCGTATTATTCCGCTATACTGTTTACCTAAAAATTATCCTTCTTTTTTAATTGCAAAAATCGACAACTCCATTTATTTCTATATTTATTACAAGTACCTATGAAAAAAATATAGAGGAACTTTTACTAAAAAAAAGTAAAACTTTAATTTTCATGGCCCTAAAGTTGGCATAGAAGTTTATTTATAAAATCTTTTTTATAAATAATAAAATATTTATAAATAATAAAATTTTTTTTATTACTCAGAAAAATGTTCTATTGCTTCTTTTTTTTAAATAAATATTTTCTCATTATTATTTTTCCATATAAGAATTAAAATTCTTCAAAACATTCAAATACAAACCTTTTTGAAATTCAACAATATTAAAAAAATTGTTATAAAACATCTTTAATTGTTAAAATAATAATTAAAGATGAAACTTTTTTAAAATTCAATTATTTCTAAAAATGCATGCTATAATGCTTTTAATATTCAATAATTATCTAAAATTTAAAAAAAAATTAATTTTTAAATCAATTTTTTGTAGAAAAGTCGACGAGAATTCAATTATTTAAATACTGTAACTTCTTCAGAATAATTTTTATAATTTCAAATTAATTACTATTTTCCAGAATTTTTAACAAAAATTCTTCTTTAAACAAAATTATTTTTAACAATTTTTAACAAAATTCTTTCAGAATTTACAAATCTCTTTGTTTACAATTATTTAAATTTAGGAAATTTCGTCGACTATTCAGTAGAAATACTTCAATTAAATATATATTTGACAATACAAACTACAAATAATTTTAAAAAAATTAAAATTTTTCATAAAAGATTATTACAAAAAAATTGATAATTATAAGTTTAAAATTCAAATTTTCAGAGATTTTAATTTGAAATCTCTTCAAAATTAAATTATTTCTAAAAATTGCAATTATTTATTGTAAATTTTCTAAAATTCAATTATTTTTATTACGATGTTATTTTGTTTGGATTTGTAATTTTAGTGAGATCTTATTTTGTTTTTTTGAAAAAATCCATTCATATAATTATTTTTATTAGAGTTTTTTTTACTACAAATTTTCTTTCAATCAATTATTTCTAATAGGTAAATAAATAATTACCTAATAATTGAATTTTTAAAAAAATTCAACTGCTTTCAAGAGAATTATGGAATTAAAATTTTTCAAAAAGATCTGTTTTACAGAATTGTTAATTAAAAGTATAAAATATTCAGATTTTTAAAGATTTGAATTTGGAAACTTTTTAAAATTTAGTTATTTCCAAAAATTTAAATTATTTGCAACTTCTCAGAAAATTCTTTTCAAAATTTATTTATTTATTTTTAAGAAAAAAATTTTACTTACAGAAATTCAATTATTTTCATAAATAATAGAACTTATTGCAGAATTTCAATTATTTTTAATACAATTTTAATCGAATTCCTCTAGAAGTATAATAATTATTCTTAAAAAATTTATTAAAATTCCCCGAAAAATTCAATTATTTATTTAAACCTCTTCAAAATTAAGTTATTTCTAAAAGTTGCATTTATTTATAATTATATCTTCATGTTTTATGATAATAATTAAAGATGAAACCTTTTCAAAATTCAATTATTTCTAAAAATGCATGCTATAATGCTTTTAATATTCAATAATTATCTAAAATTTTAATGAAAATTAATTTTTAAATCAATTTTTAGTAGAAAATTCTTTACGAGAATTCAATTATTTAAATACTGTTACTTCTTCAAAATAATTTTCATAATTTCAAGTCAATTACTATTTTCCAGAATTTGTAACTAAAATTCTACTTTAAATCCATAATTTTTAATAGTTTTTGAGCAAATCAATTTCCAAAAAAATTAAAGTTCTTCAAAAAAATTCTTTTGTTTATAATTCAATTTTAAACAATTTTTAATAAAAAGTATGAAAAATTCAAACTTTTAAAGGTTATAATTTGAAACCTTTTCAAAATTCAATTATTTCTAAAAATTCACGCTATAATACTTTCTTTCTAAATTTTAATTATTTCATTTTTCGAGAAATTAGATTAAAATTGTATTTAAAACAATTGAATCTCTGCAAAACATTTGATTAAATTGAAAAAAGTTTTTGGAAATAATTAAAATTTAGCAAAAAATTTTATCAAAAATTTATGAAAATAATTGAATTTTGCGTAGAAGAATTTTATTATTTATGAAGGTAATTGAAATTTTGACGAGAATTTTTTTAAACTTTTGACCATAATGGAATTTCTGCGAAGAGTTTTATTACTTTTGAAAATAATTGAATTCTTGAGACAAATTTTAATAATATATTTCTTTCTAAAATAATTGAATTCTTTTGTGAAATTTTATTGAAATAGTAGATATTAAAAATAATTGAATTTTGTATAAATTATTGTAATTAAGTAATTGAATTTCTACGAAGAAATTTATTGAAATTATTTTGAAAAAAAATGAATTTTTAAAAAGAATTTCATTAAAATTTTTGAAAATAATTAAATTCTCTTAAGAAATTTAATGAAAAATGTATTGACAATAATACTTAAATTCTAATAAATAAATTATAGGAAGCCTTTTTAAATTAATTGAATTTCTTTGATGAATTTTAATAAAATTTTTAAGAATAATTACATTTTTCGAGAAATTCCATTAAAATTGTATATTAAAAATAATCAAAATTCTTTAATGAACTTTATTATTTATGAAAATAATTGTAAACCTATGTAGAATTTTATTATTTATGAAAATAATTGAATACATGGTAAAAAATGTTATTCTTAATGATAATAATTGAATTATTGCGAATAAATTTATAAAAAAAATTTGTAAATAAAATTTTTGGGTAATTTTTATTATTTTATTAATTCATTCAAAATTTAATAATAATTTAATTTTTTTTTTCATTCACAGGTTAAAATCTGGTTTCAAAATAGAAGAATGAAATGGAAACGGAGCAAAAAAGCACAACAAGAACCAAGATCGGGCGGAAAGGCAGATGATACGGGAAATTCGCGTGACAATGGAAATGATGTTTCAATAAATGTGTCCGCCGCCACGGAAGACTCGAGAGAAACCTCCCAGGAGAATTCGAGAAACATCTCCGAACTTCAAGAACCTCTTTATCGTCCCTATGTTGTGTAAATTCTACGAAAAAGTTAAAATAACAAAAGAGACTAAAATCAAAGAATTCGGTTGACATAAACCAGTGTAGCAAAATGTATGATAAAGAATGTGTGCTCACTGCTCAATAAAAAAAATTGATGTAAAAAGTGTCATAAATATATATAGAGATAACAATTCTCATTCGTTTTTACTTTTTTTTCATTTCAAAAATAGAAATTTTTTCCGCATTTTTCGTAAATACTCCGAACATTTTTTTACAGAAAATTATAAATTTTTTCTACGAATAATTAAAATTTCCTGTTACAAAAATAGAATAAAATTGAAGCACTTCTGATACATCGATTAAAATTGATTGTTATTAAATTTTTAGGACCCGCTAGTATTGTTTTACGCTTTGTAATAAAGTAAATCTTTTTTTGAACAAAAAAAAATCGTCGTCGTAAATGTTTTGTTAAAAAAAGGTAATAAACATTCCATATTGTCGTCGCAAAATCCAAAGATTGTAAATATAAATAGGACTAGTTTTAAAGTGTATATATAAAAAAATCTCGTTCACTCTCAGATCTACTAGTTATAAATAAATATAGTTTAAAAAATTGTGAAGAGTGTGTTTTTAAAAATGAAAAAGGTATGTGAAGAATGATCTGAGTTTGTTTATTGATGAAATTTTACTGATGAAAAATAAAATATAGATGATCAAGCTGATACACGTTCTTCCATTAATTGCAATTCAATTATCCAATTGCAAACATTTCTGTTATTTTTTCTATAGTTGACAATTATTTGTGTTTTTATATTTTTCTATATTATAAATTCTTCTTTATTTATATTTTAGAAAATAAAATATCTTCAATTACGATTAAAAAGTTGTTCTTCTTTATTTTTAATGGTTGCATATGCAATTATGCATCATAATAATATGAAAATAAAAGGTTCTAAATTAGAGCTGATTTTCGGTATTAAAATAGAACCAAATTACGATTTAGTACCCAAAATTGGTACTAAATTAGTACCTTTCTTTTTACAGTGAAGACATTAAATAAGATTTGACCACTTTCCATGTGATTCCGTTTCGATTTTAAGTAACTGAAACTATAATGGAAAATAAAATATTATAATTGCCAAACATTCAAAATTAGAGGCAAATATTTATATAGTTACGTGTACAGAATATGAATTAAGTGCACAAAATAAAAATATAGCGAATGTGATGCAAAAAACCTATAACACATAATGCTAAAAGTTCCTAAATAAATTTTAAAAAATTATTTCTAAACTGTCTTCATTTTCCCGCTCCAATTATTATTTTCAATTACCTCTAATGTTTTAAGTATTATATACCGTAAAAAATTCTAAATAATTTATTTCGAATTAAATCAAAATCGACGAAGGCAATAACAATCACAAAAACTTAAGAATCAAAAAAATTATAAACTAAATTCATTTAAATTCGAGAAAATAGTTAAATCCTAAATTCCGAATAGGGTTCAACTAAAACTCTTTTTTTAAAAACCGTAAGAGAGACATTTTTTTTCACTATCAATTGTTACGTAAACATGAAACCAACGCTTTTTCAACTTGAGCCATTTTCTAAATTCACAATTCTATTTAATTTACATTTATTTCTCCTCTATTAACTAATTCTTTATATCCGACATGATTTTTTTCAATATATTTTTCTGCAAATTTTTATGTACACAAAATTTATAGTGAGATCTAGATAAGAGAAAAAGTAAACGCTTCTGAAATGTCTTGTGATTTTCAGTATTTATGATATGCTAATCTCCAGTTAAAAATTCTACAAAGCTCTGTGGGCTGCCACATGAAGCTGAAAACCGGAAACTGAAAACCAGTCGTTTGGAAATGCCACTGGAGGATAAGGGAAAAAATCATCGGTAATATTTGGTTATGCCAGAGATCGATATTCTTATATCTGTCCTTTTTTTTACATTCCCTTGAATAATATAAGAATCTACTCCAGTAAACAGTCTCCCGCTCTTTTATAAATTACATAAAATATGCGACCATAACTGTATATAAAACTAGGAACATTCACGAATAAAAAAATTAATTTTTCAATCTAAGACATAATAGAAAAATTATATTATTAATATAATTTTATTTTTTATTTAATTAAATAAACAATTTTTAAAATTATTAATAAACTGCAAAAACAAAACTCTTAAAAAACTCTTTAAAACTCTTAGTTTTAAAATAATCTATTTTTTCCACTTTATTTTCTTTAACTTCTTCAAATAATAGGAATTAATTACAATTATTTATTTATTATTAATAATAATAATTATTATTATTATTTACATTTATAATTATTTTATTATAGAAACGAAACAATGTCATATTATCGCTATGATTTGAAAGGAAATTCTTTGATTGTATAAAATTGTTTAAAAATGTTGCGCCTGTTAATTGGGAATTGCCTGACACTCAAGTAAATAAGGAGAAATTATTGCAATTCGGGGAAACGCGGCTGGATTCGGAGAAGCGGACCTTTTGGGGGGACTTTTGGCGAGATAGTAAAATGATCGTCCGCGTGATTTTGGGCCTCATTTGCACTTGGTTCTCGTAAAGGGGATTTTCCGCGCCATACTTTGAAGTCCGATGCCGTAGACCTCAAGTGTGGCGTTAATTTGTAAATGGGCGGAAAATTGTTGGAGCGTCGTTTGGATTGAATAGGCGGGAAAAGTCACACGGACGATCGTTTGGGAGTAAATTGAAGCTAATATAACTAACTTCTTTCCAGGCTAAAAAATACGGAAAGGATTCATTTAGAGGAAAAAGGAGGAAACATTGAGACCTCAAATCCTCAATAGAATTCCGGACGACGCCGTTTCTCCGCATCCACGCCGCTGCCGATATTCCCCCTGAGATCGAAGTCTGATGAGTATTTTATATTTTCTTCTGTTTAGTATGTTTTTTTTATGAATTTCTTAATTTCTAATCTATTTGTTTTAATCGACTCAATTTTGTTTATTATATTTTTGACCTAAATTGTATTGATAATTTGACTTGTGTGGTGAATGTGTGTATGTATGTGTAATTTTAACGTGGGCATAAAATTGTAAATTTAAATTGATTTTTATTTGACTCGAGTCAAAACGACTGTTTATTTATGAATATATTTTAATTTTGCATTTATTTTGATAATTTTTATTTCTCATGTTCATTCCTTTCAATTAATTATCTTGTCTTATAATTCTATTATTGTTTATTGTTTAATTTTATTGATTTCAATTTTGTTAAGTAAAAATTTATTACAGATTCATGTTCTCTATTCGATTCATATTCCGCTTGTGAGAGAACTTTCATGTCATCTAGGCGGCAATTTAAAAAACTGACTTAGCACGAAATTAAAAAAAAATTTAATTAATAATATATTAATTACTAACATATGATTAATAAATATCTATAATCTATAAAAAAAAGTGTAAATTTCTACCTAATATTTACTAGAATTCATGTAGAATTCTTTATGCATGAATATTCCCGAAACATTATTAGACATAAAACCATTAACATAAATTTCAATGGACGTAAAATTCATAACAAAAAAATTACTTGACATAAGTTTAATTTGACATAAGTCATTTAACATAATTCTCATTTCACATAAAATTCATTTAACGTAAAATTCATTTGACATAAGTCATTTAACATAATTCTCATTTCACATAAAATTCACTTAACGTAAAATTCATTTGACATAAGTCATTTAACATAATTCTCATTTCACATAAAATTCACTTAACGTAAAATTCATTTGACATAAAAATTTTGTCGCGAATGTTGTGTCAAATGAGAATTATTTAAATGATTTTTATGTCAAATGAACTTTAGGTCAAATGACATTTATGCCAAATAAATTTTATGTTAAATAAAATTTATGTTAAATGTTAATAGGTCAAATAAAATTTCAGGTATATTCATGTGTTCCAAAAATTCTATTGAATTCTAGTTAAATTCTATAGGTCGTTTATAAATTATATAAGATTATAAAAGATTTCAAGGGGGGAGGGGGTCTAACTATTTCACATTGTCAGTAGAAAAAATGGCGCTAATGTAGGTAAAATTTTTGTACTAAGAGGGAGGAGGGGTTAAAATTTCCAAAAATATGTCTTACGTAATTTATAGACAGACCCCCAACTACAATTTTTTCTAAATTTTTCTAAAAAAGATACACTTCACAGTACAACAAAATGGAAATAATATTCTTTAAAAACCAACTCAAGATAAAATGTAATCGTCAAAAAAAGTGAGGTGGCACTCTGCCAGATCACTTCATCTGTATACGCGAGGCAGAGACTAGTCAGCAGATAAATCTGTTATTTCCACTGAAAGAAGTTAAAGTAAGAGTAAAAAGAAAATTGAAAGTAATTTGATTTAACAAACTATACAGTTTCTTCTCGTTTACCCGCATTTTTCAACTATATAAAAATAATAAAAGCAATTAAATTATTCTCCCTTTTTTTCAATTTTCTTTTCTGACAACTAAGATCAATGTTTGCGCTCTGAAATTGCATTCCATTTGGACACTCAATTTTGGTAGCAAGAAATTTATGGTGCGGCAACATGGTAATTTGACAAATTGACCTAACGCATTATTCCAAACAGGGTGAAGAATACATTTTCATATCACTTTTCGTAATTGATATTTATCCTCTCTTTCATTTCTACTGCATTTAAGTCTTGTGGTACATAACTTATTCTTATTTCGGATCACCATATGAATTTATGATTTCAATGCGAAATTATAATTTTTTGCTACTCTTAGCAAATTCAAAATTATAGTAGAATTAGGATATTAGTTTGTTCTAATTGTAGTCACAGAGGATTCTACTTTCTTGAAATTGTAAAATTTTCCCTTATATTCAAAAATTTTTCTTGCAAACTCCATTGTGTGTTCAGAGTTTGAAATTCGTTTGCCTAGAACATCATTTTGAAATTGAGCTTCTTACTCGAGTAAAAGTTTGAAACTTGTTGTAAAGTATGTGTATATAGTACCAAAGTGGTAAAAGTAACTTTGAACGCCTTTGACTAAAAGCAAAAAGAGAGAGAGAGAGAAAGAGGGAAAGCAAAAGAAAAAAACATGAGCAAAGATATGCTAGTGGAAAGTCCGTTCACCCGTAAACTTTCATCAAAATCGTTGTCCAATAAACCCCACCCCGCACATAGCCAAATAATTCCGCATCCTTTCCTCCTCGTCATCCATTTTCAACGATTCATCCTTGCCTTGCTAACCTATCCTGAAGACGTTATAGCTCCGTTAAACTCTGAGAGGAACCCAGAGAATGCATGGGACTCCACTCTCTGGTCTTCCCCGAACCCCCAAAGTCGCGATTCCGGAAACACAATGGAATGAGAGAGGACTCGAGAGCCAAAGAGAGTCAGGAGGCAAAGCACTCATGTTTATATGCATTGTATTACTAAAACCCTTTTAACCGAATTACATTTAGCAATTCTACTGCTCTGCTTGTACCCGTGCGAGAAACTGTATTCGTAAACCTCTGCATTTCTATGTGTCTGTGTTCATGTTCGTGTACAATTGCGCCAGTGTGTTTTGCACATATTTTCACACACGAGTGCTTAAACATTTTTTAAGATAAAATGAGAGTTTATCATGCACTCTTAGAGAAATTAGTCTTAAACCCTTTTGCTTGTGCGAAACAGATGTGCACTAT